AAGTTACTTTTTTCTTTTTACAGCCTTTTCATTTCTGATGTAATGGGGAAAGTAATGACTAGATAACTCAAATGACTACTGATCTGATTTTTAATGCTACCACTTAGATGATCTCTTACATTCATTTATTCATTCATTTATTTATTCGGCCAGCATTTATTAAGCTCGTCCTGTGTATCAGTGGATGTCTGAGGAATTGGGATATAAAGATGAATAAGACAAGTGAGTGTCTAATACAGGAAACAGACATGTAAAATTCAAATGCTGTGCGATACCACTTGCAACTGAGGTTGAGAAAGAGAAAGAGAAATTAATTCTGGTGCAGAGGTCAGAGAATAACTCAGAGAGCAGAGGCTGCTTGAGAGTTTCTCTATAGTGAACTAGAAAGACATTCCAGACACAGGGAACGGCTTGTGAAAATGCATGCGGACTCCAAACACCCAGTAGGTCATTTCGGCCTGTGCTGTTTCCCTTTCAAGGTCTCTTGCTTAGGAATCTTGCTCTCATTCCAAAGATAAGAATATAAAGTAATTTCCTTCCATGCCTTCTGATTGCAATATTTTCCATCCTAATATTGGAACATCCAATTTCTTTCATGTTTCTCAAGCAGATAGATAATCTCAACATAATTCTTATTTACCACATCTAAAAATGCCAAATACTGATATTTTATTTTCTGATATCATTAAAATGTATACATCGCCTCCAACTCTAAAAAATAATTTGTGGATAATGGTATAATTGCAGTTAAGTTCTCATTTAAGTGTTCTTCACAACCCTTTATCTAAAATTCTTGGTGCCAAATACATCTCGAGATCAGGATTGTTTTTTGGGCCTTAGAAAACTAAAATGGTACACATACCACATTTTACCTAATACCTCCAGCAAGGTGTGTGGGGTAGCAACCTGGAATCAAACGCATTAGTCTTTTTGCAGTAAACATTCAAATGTTCACCCTAAGAGGAATAAACAAAGATTATAAATAGCCTCACATCAGTCCAGGCCAGGTTTGCTGCCAAATGAGTTACGTGAAACATTTGGTTTCAGAGCTTTTGGCTTTAAGGATTGTTAATGAGGGATCATGGATTTGTATTGTGATTATCTTCACTTCATAGTTTTAGAAACAGATTTAGAAAGATTAATTAACTTGTCCAAGTTGCCCAACTAGTAAGTAACGAAGCATCGTGTAAATCTAACAGTCTTACTCTGAACTCTGCTAGTAACCACTGTCCTATATGCAGTAAGCAACCATTCACTTTTATTCAGTTGCCTAGGTTTTCACTAGGGAGAAGGGGGAATTAAAATAACTGAGTATAAAACAAAAGGGTAAATTTTGCTACAGAGACCCGTCCTTTCTGATTATACTGCGAATAGTCTCTACTTCCTTATCCTCACAAACTCCCTTGTTGCAGGACTGTGTGGACCCTGGATGTCCTATCTTTGATAGCAAAGTGTTTCTGTCTGCACAATTCATTTTGCTTGCATAGCTTTGACCCACTGTTGCACTAACTCCCTGACCCTGGTTCCTTATCAGATATTTTCAACCTCTGGCCACTCAGAGCCCAGTGTGCTGCCCCTCTGGATCTCTCTCCTGACTGTATTTTCATTTCTCTTCCAGCTCAAAACCACTCACTGCCAGCTTTCTCCATCAAGGGAAGCATGTGTGAGCTCATTGCTAACTTACTCAGCCTCTGACTACATCCTGTTGCTATTTATCGTCATTCCTTTTGGCAACGTGGCTCTTTGGATCCCTCTATTATATATATCATGACCTTAACATGCGGATTCTGGGACCCATTGCTGACCAGTCATATCAGGATCTCTGGGAATGGGGCCAGGGAATCTGAGTTTTTCGCAAATATGCCACATGGTTTTTAAGCACCAACAGTTCGAGATCAGCTGCTCTGTGGCATGGAAAAGCAGGTGATTGTTTTTCCTATGGGATGTGCTCTGATGCTTGCAGGCACAGATTTATATTAGCACCATAAGACCAGAGCAAACTATAAATGCCTGACTTCTTGCTCTTCCAAAGCCACCTGAAGAGACACTGCTTGGAAAGCTTAATCAATTAACAAGTGAGGTATACATAGGGAGAGTATATTAAATATACTAATTACTCAAAAGATAACTCGATTAATTTAGCCAAATCCTTGTTTCCCTGGTTAACATCATATTTTCTCTCCATCTTCAAACACTGCATTGTAATTGGCTTCTCTTAAATTTCTACTTTAATTTATTCTAGCTTGACCTCTGAGTGAAAGATTAAGTAGAGTAACAATGGTACTTTCCAAACAAACCTCTTCTGTTTAAGGAAGCCAGCTACTTCTAGGGGGTCTTCCTAAAAAGGATCTACATCTTCTCTTCTTTCCTTTATAGTATGAAAACACTATAAGGAGCAGCATCTAATTCTTTAGCTAATGAGAGTATAATCTCAGTTGTTTTCAAAGACACACACACACGCACGCGCACACACACACACACACACACACACACACCGGTAACACTAGGAGGAACAATTAGGAGGCCACCTGTACCTTGGATCAAGAGCACTTTGATTCACTGTTAGGAATATTAACCTAAAGGGGACAGTCACCTATTGTTTTAGTCATGTCAGCTTGCACCAGAGAATCCAGGAGCATAGATCTATTACCAGACCATCTGCTTGCTCCTCAACTCAGTGTTGAGAAATGAATCGCTAATCTAATCACATAGGCAAAATCCTTTTTTTTTTTTAACAAATGATAATGCTGAAAATTACACTTACAATTTTGATGAAGGCTGGGCTTACCAAAATAAAGTCTGAATCTAGATTCAAACTATCAGAAAATCAATTTCCACTTATGTCATTGACACAAGTGTCTCCATCATTATCCATCTTTTATTTGAATATGTAAGTTTTGAAATGAGTGTGGAAGTCCTTTAAAGACAAAATGGCACAGTGCAATGCAGCTACTTGCATTTTGGCTCACATGGAGACCACTCAAATTTGAGACAACGCTTTTATAGATGGTCATAAACTAGCAAAACTATAATGCCAAAAATAATTTACTTAAGATATTTACATTGAATGAATGAAGAGTTATTTGTGATTTTTTTGTTATGAACAACTTTAGGACATAGATGGTCACTGACAAAGGCAAGAACACTCACTGTCTAAATACTGCAGACTCAGTTTATAATATGATTAGTTACACTAATAATGCTACTTAGGCACAGTCTTGCTAATTACAATATTATAAATATTAATGTCACCCAGCCTTTCTGTTTGATTGCCTCTCATGGAGTCATTCATCACCATATTTTCCTGGAATCCACACTGTAAGATTTTATTTCTTTCTCCCTTTTCTTTTTCACTACTGTACTTGAAATCACACACATTATTCTTCAAGAAGCTCTTACTTTTGGCTATCTGTTAAGAAAGGAACAGTGATATTTTTCATTAAAACTAGCCAAATGTAAGTCAGTTATATAATGTTTTTCTTGTTCTTTGAGTCCCTAATGCTGCCATCCAAGGCAGAGTACCCAGGGTTTTTGTTTTCGATTCTTTTTCATGTGACCTGTTTCAAGTTAAGATTCATTTGAATTATTAAATGCTTCCTTAAAGAATCTTTTTATACTTGCCTTTCTTTTTAAAAGTTAATTATTGATGTAGTGACAAGCTGAAAAGACTGAGAATTATAATTTTTCCTCCCCTCATTCAGGACTCAAGAAATGTCTTCTGACAATGGTTGTCTATTTAGGATAATACAAAGGAAATACAAAGGAGAAATACTGAATGTTGTTTTAGAAAAGATTTGCTAAAATCACCATATTATACAAAATGTAAATGTAGTATATATTTCTCTGAAAATAGCAGTTAGTGAGAAAGTTGGGACATAACCTTTTGAGCCCAGGTTTAACCACATAGCAGAAGCAGTTACAAAAGATACTGATTTGATTTTAATTTTAAAAACTTCATCATATTATTCAGGGCTCCGGTGATTTGATTATCTTGAAAATAGAAAGGGAATGTTATAATTTCCAGAGCTCGTTAAAGAATAAAGAAATCTCCAGCCTCCCACTGGAAAGAATGCCAGTCATTACCACAGTAAGCAAGAATTTGGAGGCACTTTACACACACACTTCAATCTTTTTCTTTTATATGACTTTGGGTTATATGGTTTTATAAAAATGTAACTCAGCCCTATCGTATAGCTGTAATCAAGCCTCCTTCAGAATGATTCTATTGTAGAAATCATATCCCACAGGCACTGTGTTCTTGTTCGTGAGAAGGTGGGAGGGAAACAAGACCTGAAATAGAAAGTGACCGAGGCAGAGTTCTCAGAGACGACACAGAATAGATGAGCACATACCTTTCCTGTGAGTTCTGGGATTTGGGGAACTGGTTTTCCTTTCTGGTGGCTCACGGTAGCTGGACTCTGCCCATCCCAGTCTTGTAGTTCCTCGATGCTTTTCAGATAAAGCAGGGCTCTGAGACCAGTGCAATAGTCTTCGATCACAGTGAAATCCTGATTCTGAACAGCACTGCAAACCTAGAAAAGGCAGAGCAACCAACCAAGTGTCAAACCAAGAGTTAATTCTCTAGACTCACTTTTCATTTATTCAACAACATTCATTTTATGTGCTAGGCATTGTTCTATGTTTGACAGATCGATCATTGCCTGGAGATGGGAGTGGTGGGGAAGAGGGACTGCAAAGGGGCGCAAGGAAACCTCGGGGACAATGCATACTTTCATAAACTTGATACGGTGATGGTCTCATAGGTGTGTATGTATGTCAAAACTTATCAGATTGTACAGTTTAAATATATGCAACTAATTGTATGGCAGATATACCTCAGCATGGCTGTTAAAAAATGAGATCCAAGTGGTTGGCTTTCCAGGGAGTTAAATTTGGCAGAACATAAAGACATTTTAATGCTCTTATTTTCCTCCATCGGGATGTGCTTCCTGGAGGTGACTCTTACATCTGGAGGTGGCCACGCTGGAGTGCTGTTCTTCAGCCAACTCAGCCACCATTTACCGCCGCTTACCTCTTCTGCCTCATCTGCTCTTGTTCTCCTTTTCATTCACTCCATTCACCCAGGTCCTCCCTCTTTTCCTCAGATTTGCCACATTATTTCTTTGCCTTAAGATCTTTTTATAAGACCTTGCTGCCTAGAAGGCTTTATCTTCTACACATGGCTAACTGCCAGCCCTTTCTCAGTCTCGTGGTAGATATCGCTTCTTCAGGGAAGTCTCCGGAAACCCGAAATAGTTAAGGCTTTCTTTTACTCATACATCTTTGGTGGATAATTATCACATGATTATTTGATTGACAGTTCACTACCCAAATAAACTGAAACTTCAGGAGGGAAAAATCTATGTTTATCTTAGTCATCATATTATTCTCAGTGGTAAACACAGGGTTTGTCACTTATTCTGACTCTCAAAATATATATGTTGATGAATGGATAATTCAGAAGAGATAGTTTCATTTGAGTAACTATATGTCAGATAATAGATATTAAAAAAATTCTAAACGTAAGGAAGTTTAAATCTGAGAAATTAGGATCCTTCTGAAAAAAATACACTCAAGAGTCAGTATTGGGATTGAAATGAGACCTCTTCACCTGGATGGCCCATCATCGCTTCAAATTCAAAATTTACCTTATAGAATTCGACACCTTTCCTCATCTAGATTCAAAACCAATCCAAAGAAGCAATCACCCAAACAAAACTAAGCAAAGTAAAACTCATTTCTGTCTCACTATTCCAGGTGTTAAATTCTTAGCATATACCATGGTGCTTGGCAATGGCAACCAATAAAGAAAAATCTTGTCCTACATGAATGAAAAAATGAGAAAATATCTGAAAATAGGAGAATAAATTAAATTTTGTTTCAAGGTCTCTTAAAGCCTCTGGATCTTTAATTAATAAATTTTATTGTAATCCGCATGCCAGCATATTACCTGATGCCTGTTGACAGGTTGGTTGAATTTACTGAAAACACACTATGAGATCTCAGAATAGGAAAGACAGAGACAGAGAGAGAGAGAGAGAGAGAGAGAGAGAGAGAGAGAGAGAGAGAGAGAGAGAGAAAGCGAGCAGAAAAATATATACTTAAGTTCTCAGCAAGAAGTGGTAGTGATTCCATGATGTGACTATAAAAGAAGGTCAAGTGTGGAATTCTGGGAACAGAAGCATTTAAAAGGAAGCTTAAGGAAGATCATGGAAGACATTAAGCAAAAAAGATCCAAGACAACACTAAGGAAGATGTAAAGTGCTGTATTAAGGCCAAAAACGTTAGAGCTGAAAAGTGGCCATTGGATTCAGCAATCAGAAAGGCAATGACTGACTGACATGTGCATTTATGGAGGAGAAGCTCTGCAACGTGGCAGAAGCCATTTTGTGGTAGGTTGAAGAATGGATGAGGGTTGAGGAACTGAAGACACAGGCAGATTGTTCTTATAAGAAGTTTGGCTACAGTAAAAATACAACATGGATGAACCCTGAGATAATCATGCTAAGCAAAATAAGCCAGATAGAAAAAGTTGAAAGTCACATGATATCACTTATATGTGGGATATAAACCTAAAAGCAACAAATGAACAGGACAAACAGAGACTCATGGACATGGACTATAGACTAGTGGTTACCAGAGGGTAGGGGGTGGGGGGGAGGGGAGAGGTAGACAGGGTAAAGGGGATCAAAAAAGGGGGGTTGGGGGAGAGTGAAGTGGGTAAAGGGGATCAAATATATGGTAGCTGAAGGAAACTGGACTTTGGGTGGTAAACACACAATAGAATATACAGATGTCAAATTATAGTATACACCTGAAAATTATATAATTGTATTAACCCATGTTACCCCAATAAACTTAATTAAAAAAAAAAAAAGAAAGAAAGAGGAGAGCTAGGATTCTAGGTAGGAGGGTTTTGCATCTTATTTCTTAAAGGATGGAAATGGCTATGTTTTAGGGCAATGAGGTCATTTTACATTTCAGAATAGGACAGAATGACTTTTGTCTATTAAATTTCTGTCAAATTTGGCTGAATGATGGTGTGATAAAAATAAAACAATGTGAATAGCTAATGCATGTGAGCTTTTATTATGGGACAGGCACTCTCTTAAACACTTTTTAATGTATTATCTCACTTAGTCCTCAAACTAACTCTAAGAGGTAGGTTTAATTTTTAAGGATGAGCAAACTGAGTCTTAGGGAAGTTAAAGACTTGTGCCAGGCCGTCTGGTTAGAAAGCGGTGGAGCCAGGAACACGACAATGCAGTTCTAATATGACTAAGATACGGACATTAACAGAGAAAAAACTGTTTTAATGTAATTACAATTATCTTTTCCTTCGACCATTTCATGAGCCCAACACACGTTTTTAAAAAAAGCAATCAAATTATCTTCAACCCAAATATAACCATTGTTTTGAAAAATCCATACTGCTAGATGAAAAATTTCAATGTCTTCCAGTTTTATTTACCTTCTTATTTGTAGCGTATGAGAAAAAAAAATGAAAAAGCAAAATACAAAACCCTTCTTTTCCTATTTTAAAGTGCTCTATGTTATTACAATGTAGGAAAGAACATTGAGTAACCACTAAATGCAGATAGAATATTTTCTATGAAGCCCATTTATGTTACATTAAAAAATCTGTTACTCAGGAGGAACAATTTGAGCATTAATAAGGCCTGTCATAACTTTCTTATCATTGATTTTTTTCAGAACAATTATAAAGAACATTATTATAATTTTTTCCACGAGATTTTTTTTTTAACTATAAAAGTCAGCTGATGCTTTACTTAATCTTCCTTGTTCACTGTGAGATTCCATTTTTTTAATAATATATGTTCATGGGTATACTTTCACTGTTGTTTTAAAATAGTTCACCATATGAACATAAAAAATCAGATTTGGAAAACCACATCATGCCATCTCCTTTATGAGATGTTCATGACTGCTGTAAAAACCTGCTGTCAAAAGGAATCTATGTATAAATAGTAAAGTTTAATTTCAGTTATTTTAGTGAGAAGATACAAAAGCCACTAATTCTCTTAATCCACAAACATGGCACAACTTGCATGTGGCAGACTCAGCCAAGTGGTGCTTGAATAATCGAAGAGTAGCCTCGGTGTATCCTAGCTGTGGGAGAGCACGGTGGGGTCCAAGGCTAGGCCTGTCACCCTCTCATATGCTCTTTATTCCAGTGTTAGTGTTCCACATAATCGGGAGCTATACTGAGAATGGGAAGGGGACACAAAACCTGAAGAGGAAGGAAAGACTACAGGATCGTGACTGAACGTGGCTGGGATGGCGTGCTATGCTGGAAATGCTGGAAGCCACCGTTAAACATGGGTGCTGGAGGGGACCACTTCAGATATGCTTAATGATAAGACAAATGTCACACTATTTCTATACCTTCCTAAAGTGAGTAATTGAATGTTTACTTTCCGATAAGAGTAAACATTAATTTTCTTGACAGAATTTCTGGTAGTAGGAATTTCGCACATTGATATTTTCTTTTACAAATTTAATATGCATATAAATTATCTGAGGACCTTATTAAAATGTATGTTCTGATTCTGTAGGTCTGGAGTGAGGCCCAAGATCCTGCATTTGTGACAAGCTCCCAGGTGGTGCTGGTGGTGCTGGGCCGCACTGAGAAAAGCAAGGTGTTAAGCACTGGTAAGATGGGATGAATCTCATCTTAACCTGAAATGCCATCTACAAAGTAAATTCCTTCCAGACAAATAATTTCTTCTCGATTTTTACTATTAAATTGTAGCAACATTTTCATGGCCCTTTAAAGAAGCACTACTTATAATAATAAGTCACGTCTGAGAGAACACGAGTAATTTTCTGATTAAATAGTAATGAGACTCAAAATAAATCTTCGGATGTAAGCACACCATTGGGAACAGGGCTCTGACCATGGGATTTGAGGCTCAGCAAATGGATTCGCTCCGGAAAGTGCCTTGTTCTTGACTAACCTTTACACTTCACTTCGGGTTTTCTATCTCAAAGGTAAATGGTTCCTTTTAAAACTCCGAACATGTAGCTGCTATTCCTCAATGGGTGTGTTTTATATGACATCTCTTAATTGTTTGTTTAACAGCTCTGATTAGGATTCTTAATAGCTGTTAACATGTTTACTTAGTATAATTTGTAAGTTCTTTATGGTAAAGGCTGGTTTATCTTTCTTCACAGCAGGGTACCAGGTACCATTATAAGGATCATTGCCACCATTAATTATTTCCACAAACGTGAACATCCCTACAGTGAGCTGTTGTAAGGGGGGGCCCCTGGATTCTCAGCAAGACCAGCTCTGTGCAGGGTTGAGTAGGTGATGTCCCCCTGTGCCACATGATTTGAGGTGTGCTATAAAGCTCCCATTGCCACTGAATTGTCTCTTTCAGAGGTATGACACAGTGCCCTGCATTTTCACTTTAGGTACAGGCACATTTAATCAAAGTCTGTCTATGCAAAGCGACGGTATCAATAACAGAGATGACAGGAGGTAGCGGGGTGTTATTCCTTTCCCATT